CCCAACCCCTGACTCCCCTCAGCAAAATCTTTCTTTTAATCAGACCTGCTAGAGTGTCCTCAGAAAAATTGTGCCACCAGCAGTACCTGGAGGGCCCCCTATGCCCATATCCCGGCCCACAATGGATATGATCCAGCTTTCTAATTTTTGTAGCATTAATAGGTATGAAGTGATACCTGTATAGTTTGAATTCATATCTCGGTAACTCACATTTAGGTCTTTTAATCCTTCTGTGTACGTGCTGTTCAGATGCTGAAACCTTTCATTCTATTTCCTTAGCATCCCTGGGCTCTGATCTCAAGTCAGACGAGAGTTCTCACTGTTTCCTGCCTTTTGCTCTTCTCAAACTGCCTTCAGCCAACAGCCTAAGGCGTGGACCTCCTCTGCATAAAGTCCTTCAGTAACTGCCGGTCATCCTTAATAAATACGCACACTACTTACTCGGACTTTCAAGGTCTTCCAGCATCTGGCTCCAGCTGGCTTTCCAGCCTCATCTCCTCCTTTCCTCTCCCACCAGTAGCCACTCCAGACGCCCACGGCCCTGACCTCACTGCGTGCCTATCTCCATCCCTTGGCTTACACTCTTCTTGCACACATCTCTGGTGCCCTCCTTGCGCTGCTTATTGCCCTCTCAAGGCCTGGGATCAAATGCAGCCTTCCCTAAGATCTGTGCTAGCCCAGGCCTCCACCTCCCCTGAACTCCCCAGGGCTTGCCCAGCACCGAACCCTTCATGCTTTTGTTTTTGTTCCATGTGCCCTTGTTGGATATCCCACCCCCCACCCCCACCCCCCCAGAGCTCAAGCTCCTGGAGGGCCTGCTACCCATCTGATTCACTTCTCTCCCGCCCACCCCAGCATCTCACCCAGGCTAGTCCACACTGCAGGCAGGAAAAACAGGTAGGAGGCTGCAAGATGACTCGGTGCAGGGAGACAAGGCGCCTCCCCAGGCAGGGAATTGGAAAGGAGAAATGAAGAGAGGGATACTCAGAAGCACTTTTTGATTAGTTGGCCATAAGGGTTAAGAGGAGGAGAAACTGGGGAACACTCCCAGCTCCTGAGCTAGGCAATTTGCCGGGTGGGAGTCCAGGAGGAATAGGGGGACAGGGTTTGGTTTCACCACGTTTGTGGCTGTGATGATAGAACACAGGGCTGCTGGGCAGGTGTATGCTCAGCACGGAGCCAAGAGGACCCGAACCTGAGATGAAGATTTGGGGTCATCAGCGGAGAGGTGGCATCTAACTCCTGGAGCATGCATGAGATTGCCCAGGAAGGCCAATGATGGTGAACCCTGAGGAGGCAACAAGGAAGAGGTGGCTGGGAAAGACAGAATGGCCGAGGTGGTCTCCCGAAAACCAAGGAAAGAGATGTTCAGTGAGTAACTGCTGCAGAGCCAGACTCCGTGAGGGAGCTAAGGCTGAGCACGTCTGCCCCAGCCCACCCAGCTCACTATCCCCCTCCCTTCTCCTCAGAGCTTTTCTTTCTTTCTTTTTTTACTTTTTTATTGAATATATTGGGGTGACATTGGTTAATAAAATTATATAGGCTTCAGAGGTACAATTCTATAACACATCATCTGTATATTGTATTGTGTTCACCACCCCAAGTCATGTCTCTTTTCACTCTCCTAACTCCCCCTACTCCTTTCCCTCTGGTAATCACCATAGTGTTTTCTGTTTTTCATAATCAGGGAACAGCCCTCTTGTCTGGGGAATGGGCCCTGCTACAGTGCCCCCTCTGGGGGTTTGTGTACTGAAAGCGAACCCAGGGTGTTTCCCTTCCCAAGGCACCTTTCATCCCCAGCTCTGGAAGCAGCCCTGCAAGTGGAGGCTCAGGCCATGAGTTCCCAACACACCAAAGTCAGACCCTTGCCCCTAATCTTTCTGGTCACCTCTGCTTCTATCGCTCCCCTATCAATTAAAAACAAATTTTCAGGGGGAGAAATAGAAACAGACACTTGACTTTTGAACTGGATGTCAAAGAGGGCAGCAGGTGCCTAAGGGTTGGAACTTCAGGGTGGGGATGAGAGTGGGGTGGGTGCTAAATAAAAGAAAAACACCAGGAGAGTGGCCTTGGTGTTTCTCCACACCATGGTGCAGCTTTACCGGGTGCTTCGCAAAGCTTAAGGAAGGCCTGTCAGGTCTCAGACTCTGAGGGGGTACTGAAGGGTGAGGAGGAGGCTCTGGATGGTGCACTTGGCCTCCTCCCCCTCCTCCCCCTTGGACATGTACCTCCATCCTTTGCTTTGAAAAACCAGCTTCATCTTCCCCTCCGCTCCAGCTCTTGCTTGGTCAGGCCCCAGGGGCCATCTGCCCAAGCTCTTGGCTCTGCATACCCTGCACCTAGGGGTCCTCTGCCCGAGTCTCAATAGACACAGTGACCCTCACGAAGCCACAGCTTGACTTCAAGTCCCACTCCTGAGTGGCATTGTACGCCATTCCTGGGGAGCCTGAGCCCTGCCTGGGAGACAGCTGGATGTTCAGCCAGCGACATTGGATGTCATCACACGCAAGCACCACAGTGCCTTCAGGGTTGCTGTAGGTGCACCGTTTCCAGGCTGCCCTGTCCTTCGCAACCAGATCCCAGCTGTCCCCTGGCTCCCTGTCTTCCAGCCCCGGAGCCTGGAAGCCCAAGAGGTCCCGGGTGACAGGGCATACCAGCTGCTCCTCTTTCAAAGCAGGCACCACCTGGCCCTTCAGGTAGGCAGGACCCGCACAGTAGGTCTGGATGTTGAAGAGCTGGTCACTGTACTGGTGTAGCCAGCTGAAGAGGTAGGCCAGGTGGCAGTCACACTGCCAGGGGTTGCCATGCAGGGCGAGATTGAACAGGTTGTAGTTGGTGTCAAAGATGCCCTCTGGGAGCGTGGTCAGGAGGTTCCTGGAGAGGCTGAGCAGCTCGAGCTTGGACAGGTTCTGGAAGAGGTCTTTGTGCAGGGCTGTCAGGTTGTTGCTGCCCAGGTAGAGCTTGACCAACTCACTTAGGTCCCTGAAGACACCGGGGGGGAGATTGGTGATGGCGTTGTGTGAGAGTGTAAGGGAGCTGAGGTTGGACAATTTGGCAAAGGCTCCCTCTGGGATAGTCTCCAGCTGGTTGTGGGACAGGGACAGGCCTAGCAGGCCCTGGGTGTGGGCAAAGAGGCCAGCGGGCAGCACCCGCAACTCGTTCCCCTGCAGGTTCAGGAAGGTCAGGCTGCACAGGGAGGAGAAGACAGCGGGCGACAGGTGCCCGATGGCGTTGTGCTGGAGCCACAGCTTCTCCAGGCGGAAGAGCTGCGAGAACACAGCCGGGGGCAGCTCCGCGATGGAGTTGCCGTCCAGGAAGAGCTCCTGCAGGCTGCCCAGCCGGGCAAACACACGTGGGGGCAGGCCGGACAGCATGTTGTTGCTCAGCCTCAGGGTCTGCAGGCTGCCAAGGGGCTCAAACAGCTCCTCGGGCAGCTGGGCCAGGAGATTCTGAGCTAGGTTGAGGGTCTTCAGGTGTCTCAGAGGCTGGAAGAGCCTCCTGGGCAGGGTCTGGAGCTGGTTGCCCTGCAGCTGGAGGGACTCCAGGGCATCCATGTGGTGGAAGAGGCCCTCAGGCAGAGCTTTCAGAGTGTTGAAGTTGAGTGTGAATTTGCTCAGCGAGGTCAGGTTGGAGAAGATGTCAGCACTGAGGTTGGAAAAGGCGTTGCCAGTGATCTCCAGGTCCTGGAGCCCAGGCAGCCCCCCGAAGGCATCTGGCTCAAAGTGGCAGAGCTGGGTGTTGAGGAAGACCACCTTGGTCAGGTTGGGGCTGCCACCAAAGGCCCTGGCTCTGACTGTGGTGAAAGAGGTCTCTACGAAGATGATGTCCGTGGCGTGGGGCGGGATGTCCTGTGGGATAGAGGCCAGCTCCTCATCAGAGCAGAACACCTCCTGGATGAAGCAGTCGCACCCCACAGGGCAGGGCTGGGAGAGCCTGGCCAGGAGCAGGAGGCAGGCCCAGCACAGCCAGGCTCCAGGAAGCATCTCCTACACCCAGTGGGAAGAGAAAACAGAAGTGGTGGCTCTGTGGAGGGCTGTGTGGCTCGGGGACCATGGGGCCAGAAGGGAGCCAGAAGAAGGGGTTAGCTCTGTCAGGAAGGCCAGCTGATTGAACAGCAGTTCCTGTGGTTTCTATTATTTTGTTTTTTGTTGTTAATCCTCACAAGGAGAATATTTTTTTCCATTGATTTTTAGAGAGAGTGGAAGGGAGGGAAGGAGCAGGAAGGGAGAAGGGAGAGAGAGGGAGAGAAACATTGATGTGAGAGAGACACATGGATTGGGTGCCTCATGCCCTGACTGCAACCCAGGTATGTATCCTTGGCTGGGACTGAACCGTAGACCCTTTGGTCCACGGGCCAACACTCTAACCACTGAGCAACACCAGCCAGGGCAGCAGTTTATGTTTTTAATGGTTTTCATACTACCTCACAGCAGCCTTGCAAGGTTGGTGGGACCAGGGTTCTAACCTCCTGGCAGCAAGAATGTCACATGGCCTGTCCATAGCCACCCTGCAGGTTAGCGGCAGGACTGAGAACCAGGTGTCCTGGGCTCCCTGTGTTCTTTCCAGAAACAGGAGAAAGAGGCAGAAAAGGGGCAGAAAAGCATGGAAGAAAGGTATAAAAGACTATGGGTATTGTGGAATTTTTAAGATAATATTTAAAATATGGGCAGATTATTCCTAAATTGGAAATTTTTAAACCGTACTCTTCCTGAGTTTCCAAATCTCAACATATTCCAGAGCCTAATTAGGAAGAGATCTGCTCTTTGCACATCTGCTGAGAGTGAAAGCAGCCTCGATGACAAGAGGGCTCTTGTCTTGAAACAAGTCCCTTAGTACTGCTGCCAAAATGCTCCCCCCCTGCCCCTGGCCTCCCAGCCCTCACCAGCGTGGGGCCACAGAACCTCCCAATGTGTGGAGAGGAGGGTCTCAGATGCAAGGATTTTGAAGACCACTAAGTTTTTGTTTTTAAGGTTTTGTTTTAATAAGGGAAGGGGACCAGGTTTTCAGTTTACTGAATATTAATTTTTTTTAAGGAAAAAATTCCAGCATCCACCCGCAGGTCACAAGTTAGTGATTCAGCTTAAAACTGTGTTTTGTCTATGTCTCAGTCCTTTTTAATGTATGAACCATCAGCCAACATGTAAAAATTGAAAATTATCACATTAAAAGTCCACATTTCCAGATGATTTAGGGGCAGTGAACTCACATTTCTGCATGACATGACCATCTGGGGCCTAGTTGCCCCAGTGTGTGGGGGGGTACACCTTCCAGGTTACTGCTGTTCCCCCCTCACACACACACATATCATTATCTACATGGCCTGTAGAGGTTCAGATTCCATAAATTAGAATTCCAGCTTCATTGAGCTTCAGCTATGTGACTTTGGGCTTGTTACTTAATCTGTCTGTGCTTCAATTTTTTATCTGTAAAATGGAGAGAATAATAGTGCCTATCATGTTAGGAAATTGAGGATTAAATGAGTAAATATAGGTGAAGATTTTAGATCAGTGTCTGAGATAGAGTGAGCAATTAATAAACTATGTTAATTATTTTTAAATGTTGCATGCCACCATCATTACAGAAAAAAATTATTCGAACACCAAAAAAGTAGGAAAAACAAAATCACCTTTAAATAGAATACATTTGGGAAGAAAGGAGGGAGAGAAAGAGGGAGGGAGAAAGGAAAACCCTCACTGACCATAATCCTAATTCTTCTCAATTTACCTGTCTTCAGTAAGAACTCACAGTTGGCCCCTAGCTGCCTCTCTGCTGCCCTCTTCCGGCTGCCTCCTCCATCACAAAATTCAGTTTCAGATTAAAGGGCTTCATGTGTGAAAGCCTCCAGCACACATGGTGCTTTCAAAAGCCTATGTACCCTCCTCCTATTCAGACACTCAATAACTTTCCATTTTTCCAGGATATTTTCAGCCCAATCAATAGAGAAAGGACAAGTTCTCCCTGATAAAGTGCACACCTCCTCGAGGCTCCCCTGATGCACACATAGGCGCTGAGTAAGCCACAGGAGGTGGGTTTTACACCGAGGCAGGTATAGCAGTAACTGCCTGCCTGCTACTCAGAACACAGAGGGAAAGGAACAAGCGTCGGGGAGGGGGGGTTGCCTCCTGGTTCAGCGACCCCTAGACAGTGGTCACAGAGTTCAGCTTTAGCGACTGTGTGCATAGAATACAGGTAAGCAGCAGAAGGCCCCGGCTGAAGAAGGGTGAGGTAGCCACTGTCCCACCACACCTGCCGCCTGGGCTGCCCCTGGCAATCCTGCACAAAACCCCTAGGGGTCCTGACAGCCGCCTTCCCTGGCCCCAGAAACGAAGCACTTGGCATTGTGCTTCTGCGTCTCAGCACCCAGCGCCGTCCTCTGACATGAGGTGTTTTCATGGCTGCCCTTTCTGTGAGGAGATGGGTGTACTCTCTCCATGCTCAGGGTCCAGCACAGTGTTGACGTACAATGGGCTCAGTTAGTGTTTGTTGAACTGAACCTTCCTCAGCTGGGATGAACCACCTGGGGGCAGAGCTGCTCATCCCTGGGATGGTGTAAGCTGGGAGTGAAAGACCCCCAGGCTGGGAGAGTAGCCTTGAATCCCCACCCCTTCCAGTAAGAGGGAAGCAATTCCTATCTTTAACACTTCGTAATGTTACCATGTGCCCATCCCTTTCCTTGCTAACTCCTTTGGTCCTTGGTTCTTACAGGCAGCTTCCAGAAAAAAGTACACTGGAATGGACATGTGGGCCTTAAGGACCATCTGGCCAGCCACCTCATAGAGAGGGTATCTGCAGCGGGGCTTGGGTTTGAACCCAGATTTCCTGGTTTTCCCTGTCATTCCTGCCAGGAAAGCTGGGACAAAGCGGGAGGCACTGGTGAAAGGAAAGCTAAAGCCTTATGGGGAGAATGTGTCCCACCTACTGAACCAGCCTGAGAAGGCGTCCCCTCCTTCCCTAGTCTGTGCCTCTGTCTTCTCATCCACTGTCATTTGGAAATATATGCCTTAGAATTTTCCAACAAAGGCAGTAACTTGAGATTCAGGATTTGAATCAAACCTACAGCATCAGTCACACAGAAAATCAAGTGTAGACAAATCAGCTTTGGCTCTGGGAGAAGTGGGTAAGGGAGGTGAGGTGGCACCTCTCTGATGTGGGGGGCAGAGCTGAGTGGGCTGTTCTCACCTGCCAGTTCCCAATGACCCAGAACAGGGAAACTGGGGGTCCCACAGCAACAGAGACTGGTCCAAGCGCACACAGCTAAGAAGTAAGGAGCCAGGATCAGTCCTCATGGCCTGACTTCTAAGCAAGGTGCTTGCTGTGACACCCTTGGTATGGCTTCCACACCAAGGCAGTGGAGGGGGGTAGACAGGCCTGCTCCTCACATTTGTAGGACTCATAGTGAACATATACAAGGGACTTTGCCTACTGTCTGTCCCCTTCTCTTTCTCTCTGACTCTCTCTAGTACTGTGAGGAAAGACCTATATTCACTTCTGTGAAATGGTTGGCTTAAGAAAGATGTGCCTGAGGAGGGAATCCACACAGGCCCTGGGTCCCGGGTCCTTAAAGCATGCTTTAAAATGGAACACAGCCTTTGATGGGCGTGTCCCTTTGGTCTTGCAAACTTCTTACTCTTTGGGGTGTCATGGTGGGAGGAGGGCCAGACAGGGCCTCTAAAGTTTAGGGCAAGCCCGGCCGGGCATGGCTCAGAGGTTGAGTATCAATCTAGGATCCAGGCTATCGGGGTTTGATTCCCGGTCAGGGCACATGCCTGGTTGTGGGCTTGATCGATGACTTTCTCATCGTTGATGTTTCTGTCTCTCTCTCTCCCTCTCTTTTCCTCTCTCTGAAATCAATAAAGATATATTAATAAATAAATAAATAAATAAATAAATAAATAAATAAATAAATAAATAAATAAATAAAATAAAATAAAGTTTAGGGCAAGACCCCTCTTGCCCCAGTCTATTGGGGCGGGAGAAAGCAGGGGATGGTACTCACAGTGAGAGTGCAGAATGGCGACAATTTCAAATGATCCGCGCCTAACCATTGTCACCTCACTTTAGAATGGCTAAGTTTGTGCTCTGGAGTCAGACAGTCTGGGTTCAAATCTTGTCTCCACACCCTAATTAGCTGTATAGCCTTGACGGAATTACCTAAACTCATTGCGCTTCAATTTCTCATCTTCAAAACAATGAGCTTCAATACTGCCTTCCTCATGGGGCTGCTCTGAGGATTCAATGAGAAAATGCACTGAGAGCTCCAAAACCAAAGCCTGGCACAGTGTACTCAGTAGCATCAGGGACCCTGATTATTCCCAGGAGAGGCCAGCCCCAGCTTTGTTCTGAAGTAGTCACAGAGGTTGGCTATGGAATAACTGATGAGATCATTCAACCACCCCGTTTATGGGCCAGCGAGGTTTGTGACTGCCTACAGCACTTTTCTGGCTGTAGTGGAGCACAGATTCTAGTGGCTCTGGCCAGGATGCCCTGGACTTGGGCCCCTTCCCTATCCCGCCCTCAAGAGCAAGGCACTGGGGGCTCTAGGGATAGGAGGTGCCCCTGCCTGGGCACTGTGGAGGTTGCCACCAGAGGGGACACTGGGGCAGCAGCCAGAAGATCCCTGCTTCCCATCTGAAAAACCACCTCTGCACTGATGTAGAGACCAGAAATGCCCACAAAAATGTTCCATGCTCTCAGCAAGCCTGGTTTTTTGGGGGTGGGGTGGGGATTACTGGTTGCAAATGAACTCTCTCTTCTTCTCAAATTGCTTTTGGGTTGGTACATTTCTGTGAATGCCACAAGCCAGTCTGTCATCCACCACAGAGCTCACTCCTTCCAGAGGGTGATGGGAACCCAGAGCCCCTGATTACCTCACCCAGGTCCCCATGGAAGGCCTGCTGCTCCCTGGACTTCTGTGTCCTTCCCTCTCAATCCAGGACAATAAGCCCAGTGGCTGAGGCAGTCACACCCAGTGTGGGATCCTGTG